CTCATTGTTGTCCCTAGCTTATCATGATCTATACAATCAAAAGCCTTTGCGTAGTCAATAAAGCACAAGTAAATATCTTTCTGGTATTCTCTGCTTTCAGCCAAGATTTATCTGATGTCAGCAGTGATATCCCTTGTTCCACATCCTCATCTGAATCCAGCTTGAACCTCCACTAGTTCCCTGCCAGTATACTGTTGCAGCCATTTTTTAATCATCTTGAGCAAAGTTTTACATGCATGTAATGTTAATGATATTGTCTGGTGATTTCCAGTCACTTGTCTTTGGAATGGGCACAAATACGGATCACTTCCAATTAGTTGACAAGGTAGCTGTCTTCAAGGTTCTTGGCATAGATGAGTGATTATGATATGTCTTGGTGATTTTCTTTTGGGGTCTGTCCTTCCTGGGGTTTGTTCAATTTCTTGAATGCATTTCTTCTCGTCTTTCTTGATCTTAGGGAAATTTTCTTCCAACGTCTCTTTGATTATCTTTTCTGTGGCTTTCTTTCTCTCTTACTATCCCAGAATTCCAATCATCCGTAGGTTATTCATGTGTCCCACATGAATCTTAGGCTTTCTTCAGATTTTTTCATTCTTTTTTCTGATTGTTCTATTTTAGTAGTACTGAGTTTAAGCTTGATAATTCTGGCTTCCATTGATTCAGTTCTACTTCTTTGCCCTTTCAGTGTATTGTCCATTTCTGATATTTTAGTATTGATCATCCGGACCTCTGTTTGCAAGTTTTGTATTGTCTCCAATGCTAAAACAATGCTTTTCTGAATTTTTACATATTTTCTTCAGTCTTTCTGTGGAACATATGGCTGTACTTCAATATCATTCTTCTAAGTTCTTTTTCTTCCTCAGAAGCATTTTCTAGCTCTTCTTCTTGGTCATTTGGGTTAAGCTACCCTATCTTGTTTCTGCATGTGAGCAGAAATTTTCTACAGCATTTTAGGCTTTTTTAGGTATTTATATTAATTTGATGAATGTATATTGGTGTGTTCTTAAGCACTCACCAATTATCTCCTGGTGGGTATAATCAGGAGATAAGCTTCTGTGTTCACTGTTCATACAGATCAATTCAGAGTGGTTTTACCGGATGTTGTTTGTAGACACTGCTCTAGTGTATAGCAACTGTTATGGGTTCTTGCCCAGTTTGTGGGGCGAGAGAGGGTACAGCTAAGGCTTGGCTGCATGGGCGCAGTTGCTGTCTTCTGTTGTATGATGCAAGAAGGAAAACAAACAAAAAACCAGCCTACATAACAGTGGGTCTTGGAGAGGTGGTCTGAAAGTGAATGGTGTTCTCTCCACCAATAGGTGGTGTGTTCCGCCACCTACTGGTGTCTTGCCTTCACAGCTGCCTGAGAAAATTAAAATTGGCCACACTGTACCCAGAGATCAACCGCCTCCTTTCCTTCCCTCCCCCTGCCCCTTTTTTTTTACCCCTCTACCCCAGGAGTCTAAGGAGCTCTGGTAGCGTAGTGGCTACAAATCGGACTGCAAACCACAAGGTTAGCATTTCGAAACGAACAGCTGTTCTGCGGAAGAAAGATGAGGCTTTCTGCTCCCGTAAAGATTTACAGCCTCGGAAACCCTGTCCAGGGTCGCTATGAGTCAAAACCGACTCCACGGCACATAATAACAACAACCACCCCAGGAGTCTAAGGAGCTCTGGTAGCGTAGTGGTTATGAATCAGGCTACGAACCGCAAGGTCAGCAGTTCAAAACTATCAGCTGTTCTGCAGGAGAAAGATGAGGCTTTCTGCTCCCTTAAAGATTTGAAGCCTCGGAAACCCTGAACAGGGTTGCTATGAAATGGAACTGACTGCACGGCATATAATCACAACCACCCCAAGAGTCTATTCAATCCCCGATCCTAGTGAGAGCTATCCAGGGTTGGCAGGATCCACTTTGCATATTTGTCTTTTGGTTTTGTTTTTTTTAGTAAATGTTTTATTGTGAATTATGTGATAGTTTACATGGGGGACCATTAGTTTTACATTCATTCTATCATATATCGTTTCATTGCCATAGTTACAATCCCGTCCATGCATCATCAACCAACCAAAGGGTATATACCCTGCAAGCCTGCCCCCCACACCCTGTCATCAGCACACAGCCCCTTTCCCACTCCGGATCTAAAGTCCCCAGCCACTCCATCTCTCCATGTCATCATCTCTGCCTCCAGCTTCTCTGAG